TTTCTTGGTTTCTTCCTTTAGCTTTGGCTTCTCGGTGCTCTAATACAATATTCAGAGTCTCATCTGACATTCATCTTGGTCTTTTTTCTTTTTCAGCCTTTGTAATGATCTTTTGCATTCTTCATGGACAATTTTCTTGATATCCTCCCAGAACTCATTTGGTCTATGCTCATTGGTGCTCAAGGCCTCCAACCTGTTCCTGAGATTGTTTTGGAATTCGAGTGGGATAGACTTAAGATCAAATTTTGGTTCCTGTGGACTTGATTTCATTTTCCTCAACTTCAGCTTGAACTTGCACATGAGTAGTTGGTGGTCTGTCCCACAATCAGCACCCGGCCTGGTTTTCACTGCTGATACTGAGTTCTCCACCAAGTCTTTCCACAAATGTAATCTATTTGATTCCTATGCATGCCATCAGGTGAGATCCATGTGTATAGCCTGCGTTATGTTTCTTATAAAAGATATTTGCAGTGAATAAATCATTGACTGTGCAGAACTCTATCATTCTGTCTCCAGCCTCATTTCTTTTCTCTCACCGAGCCCATATTTTCCAGCTACCGAACCTTCTTCTCTGTTCCCAACTTTTGCATTCCAGTCGCTCATTATTATCAGTGCATCTTGATTGCATGTTTGATCAACTTCTGACTGCAACAGTTGGTAGAAATCTATTTCCTCCTCTTTGGCTCTAGTTGTTGGTGCATATATTTGAATGATGGTGGTATTCACTGGACTTCCTTGATTGCGTATGGATATTATCCTATTGCTTACCATACTGTATTTCAGGATGGATCTAGAAATGACTTTTTTAATTATGAAACCAACCCCATTCTTGCTCACCTTTTCATCCCCAGCATAGTAAATCATATAATCGTCTGATTCAAAATGTCCCATGCCCTCTCATTTCACCTATACCTAGTATGTCAATATTTATGTGTTCCATTTCTTTCTTAACAGTGTCCAATTTTCCTACATTCATGCTTCTCACATTCCATGTTCCAATCACTAGTGCCTGCTTACAGCTTGTTCCTTCTTCTCTGTATTTCTGTTTCTAAGATCTCAGTCTCAACTGCCATGTCTGCTAGTCCAAGCGATAGTCTAAGTGTGCTCTACTGTACATAGGGTTTTTGAAGGCTTTAGTTTGAGTATAAATACAATTTGTGTTTAAAACAAAGATTTTAAGATAATTAAAAACAAAGCCAAGACCATATCCTCCACTTAGTTCTGTCAGTGATCTTCCAGTGGGTTTCCAAGGCTGCAAATCTGTACAGGAGGAGACTGTGCATCTTTCAATCCTTCAGAGCAGCTGGGTGACTCTGGTAACTTAGTTAACAATTCAATGCATGATATACTTAATGTAGCACCAGACCTCTTAAAAAATGGTGCTCATTTAAAACAAGTTCTTTTTTGCACCTGGAGTCAGTTTTACAAAGGCCACCTCAAGATAAAAATGCAGAGTAAGAATCATTCAGAGTTTAGTGAAACAGTGACCAAATAAGATTCATAATCTTTTAAAAAAAACACTCAAAGTTCATTGCTGTTGAGTCAGAACTGACTCATCGTTAACCTTCTAGCTGTTTTTCGAGAGGCTGTAAATCCAATTGAAGACTGCCTAGCTTTCTCCTTTGGAGCTACTGGTGGATTCAGACTGCCAGAGAGACATCACCTTTGGGTTAACTCCCTATGGACTACACCATCTGAGTTCCCTTCATATATAAAACCCTGGGTGGTACAAAAAGGGCTTTAATCCAAATGCCAGACTTCCCTGGAGGTTTGAATACACTAGAGGCTCCAAGGGAGAAAGATGAGCAATCTCTTTTCATTGTGATTTATAGGTTCAGAAACTCAATGCAGGATTGCCAGAGACTTAACTAACTCCAGAGCACTGAGGGGGAGATTCAAGTGGCTAAATGTGATTACTAGTCACAAAGTTTGGCAGTTTAAATCCAGATGTGCCTCAGAAGACAGACCTGGTAATCTGAAAAGTCACAAACTGATGAAGCAGTTATGTTCTGCACACATGTGTTTGTCATGAAGAGAACTTGACAGCACTATATCTATCTATCTATGTATCTATTTATCTATCCATCCATCATGTGTCCAAACTACAGACTTTCTGCCCTCCTCAAAGAAAATGAATTGTTAAAGTCCTCTTACCTTCATTTTTTTCAGGCTCCACATTCGTTGGTTCTGAATCATAAGTCAAGTCCACTTCAGCTTTCATTAATATAGTAACATAATGGTAATTTTCTTTCTCAATGAAAGAGTTCACTACTGAGGCAAAGCGAACATTTTTCAGGTGAAGAGCTGCTTCTTCCAAGGTTTCTCGCTGAGCACATTCTTCCCAGCTTTCACTGGAAAATAAACATGCCACTGTATTCATTTTTATGCACATGACTTTGTTTTGGCTATGAAGCAAAAAGTAACCAGGAGGATAGTGGACTGACAGACAGTAGACTGGACTGTCTACATCTAAAAACATCAAAAATCATAACACATACAGATGATAATCATGGAACCTTGATTTTCAAAAGAAAGTAGTAGCCCAAGTACCAACTGAAGGAAGAAAGCAACAACATGGTAGGAGATGAGGGGATGTATTGTGAACTGGCCTGACACAGTTTAGCATCCTGAACTTTCGGAGGCAGTTTTCTGATTGGCATAGGAACACAGGGCTGCAATGGTGTGTACACCATTTAGTGTGACAAATGCATGGTCCTCATAATTGTATGAGAACAGGGGAGTGACTCCCCCCACCCCTCCGTCCCGACCATCCACCAAGCAGACAACAGAATTTTCCCAGATCCTGTCCCAGCTCTCTGGAAGCCAGACTTTTCACCATTGTTTATCTGGCTCCAGAAGCACACACAAAGCTCCACTCCAGGAGATACAAGCTCTCTACTACTGGTGCTGTTGGAAGATGTGATGTGTGAGGTGGGTGCCCTGCCTATTGCTAGCTCCAGATTTACTGAGGCATCATCTCTGGCCAGAATCTCTGTCTTTAATCACCTCTTGGATTGCAGAAACTCCTCTGACTTGGCGCCCCTTTGTATTCTGTGCCTAGTGCACACACTACTCATGTTATACTCCATTAACTTTGGCATAGCATGACAGTAGGCTGAGCATTAGGTGCACATCACCCACGTGCATGCACTGCTCCTACTAAGGCTGGGGTAATGTGCTGTCTGCACTCTTATCCACCGACAACCTACTGGTCTGGCAGAGGCTGTTCAGGACAGGGCACCTTTGTGGATCTGGCACTAGATACAACCCGACCCACAGTGGAGATATGTGTTCTCTGTGTTCTCATGCTCAGAGTGAATCATATCTGACTAGATGCCCTACCTGCACCTTGGACTGGCAGAGACAACATTCCTGGATAATTGGACCGCCCTAGCCACTTTGGAACTTAGGGAACCGCTAGAAGCTCAAGCAGGATTTAAAAGAGGCTGTGGCACTAGGGATATCATTGCTGATGTCAGATGGATCCTGGCTGAAAGTAAGGAATACCAGAAGAATGTAGATTTGTCCATTGTTGACTATGCAAAGGTATTTGTGTGGATCATAACAAGCTGTGGCTGACATTGAGAATGGCAATCCCAGAGCACTTAATTGTGCTCATGTGGAACTTACACCTGGACCAGGAGGCTGTTGTATGAACAGAGCAGAGGAACACTACATGATTTAAAATTGAGAATGGAGTGCATAAGGTTGTATTCTCTCTCCATACCTATTTAATCTGTATGCTGGGCAAATTACCTGAGAAACTGGACTCTGAGAAGAGTGTGGCATCAGGATTGGAGGGAGACTCATCAATAACCTGCATTATGCAGATGACAAAACCTTGCTGGCTGAAAGTGAGGAGGACTTGAAGCACTTGTGGAGGATCAGGGAGTGCAGCCTTTGGTATGTATTGCATCTCAATGTCAAGAAAACAAAGATTCTTAGCACTGGATAGACAGGATGATGGATGTAGAGGAAATAAACTATTAACAGTTTCATCTTGCTTGGATCCATAATTAACACCCTTGGTACCAGCAGTCAGGAAATAAGGAGACACAATGCACTGGGAAAATCTGTAGTTAGGGAACTCTAAAAATTATTGATGAGTAATAATGCCAGTTTGAGGACTTAAAGTCCATCAGATTCAGGCCATAGTCTTTTCAATTACTTGCTATGTATCTGAAAGCTGGACAAGGAATAAGGATGACAGAGGAAGAATTGATGCCTTTGAGCTGTGGTGATGGAGAAGAGTGCTGAACATCCCATGGATGGCCAAGAGAATGAACAGATAAGTCTTAGAGAGGGTGCATCTGGAGTGCTTTTTGGAAGTGGAGGCAAGAATGATGAGGCTTTGCCTCACATACTTTGGGCATGTTGCTAAGAGGGGCTCTTCCTTGGAGAAGAACATGATGCTGTGAAGGGTAGAGGGTCAGTGAAGGAGTTCTTCTATACCAGATAGACTGCCGCAGTGACTGCTGCAATGGGATTTTGTGTGTCTGGAAGTGTTAGGATGGCACAGGACAGAACAGGGTTCAGATCTTTTGTTCATTGGGTCGCTATGAGTTGTACTCACGGCACTTAACAACAAGGCACTTTGGAGAACAGCAGGAACTTTTTCCCAGGCTAGAGGCCCCATCTCTCTACAGAGGTGCTACCCTTGGCCCAGCACCACACCTTACGTTTTCCCCAGGTTCACTGGAGGTTCTGTTCTTGGCTGGGCACCTTACTCTAAGCCACCACTCAGACAAGCAGAAACTATGCTGAGAAAGCATCTCACCCCAAAATATCCTGCTAGACTGGCAGAAAATCTGACCCAGATCAGACATCATCGCTCCACCCAACACAGCAGTGTTCGTCATTAAGCCCATTGACAAGAAGGCCCCAGACTTCGTGTTCTATGCCCCCCGCCTGAGGATCAACAAGCGCATCCTGCAGCTGTGCATGGGCAACCACGAGCTGTACATGTGCCGTCGCAAGCCTGACACCATCGAGGTGCAGCAGATGAAGGCCCAGGCCCGCGAGAAGCACCAGAAGCAGCTGGAGCGCCAACAGCTGGAAACAGAGAAGAAGAGGAGGGAGACAGTGGAGAGTGAGAAGGAGCAGATGATGCGGGAGAAGGAGGAGCTGATGCAGAGGCTGCAGGACTACGAGCAGAAGACCAAGAAGGCCGAGAAAGAACTCTCTGACCAGATCCAGAGAGCCCTGCAGCAGCTGGAGGAGGAGAGGAAGCGGGCCCAGGAGGAGGCGGAGCGCCTGGAGGCCGACCGTACTGCGGGCCAAGGAGGAGCTGGAGCGCCAGGCGGTGGATCAGATAAAGAGCCAGGAGCAGCTGGCTGCAGAGCTGGCCGAGTACACAGCCAAGATCGCCCTTCTGGAAGAGGCCCGGCGGCGCAAGGAGGACGAAGTGGAAGAGTGACAGCACCGGGCCAAAGAGGCCCAGGATGACTTGGTGAAGACCAAGGAGGAACTGCACCTGGTGATGATGGCGCCCCCGCCGCCGGCCCCGGTGTATGAGCCGGTGAACTTCCACGTCCAGGAGAACATGCAGGAAGAAGGCAGCGAGTACACAGGCTACAGCGCCGAGCTGTCCAGAGAGGACATCATGGATGACCGCAACGAGGAGAAGCGCATCACGGAGGCCGAGAAGAACGAGAGGGTGCAGCGGCAGCTGAGGACCCTGACCAACAAGCTGTCCCAGGCCCGGGACGAGAACAAGAGGACCCACAATGACATCATCCACAATGAGAACATGCGGCAGGGGCGTGACAAGTACAAGACCCTGCGGCAGATCCGGCAGGGCAACACCAAGCAGAGGATCGACGAGTTCGAGGCCATGTAGGCGCGGCCGAGGCAGGACTGTCCCCTGAGCGCGTGCTCCTGGGATTTGCTGGCTAGCACCCCTCATCATATTCCAGTTTTCTTTCCAGCGCCAGTAGTTCACTTCAGTGGGAGCGTCTGGGGGCCGGAGGGCTTCTGGGCTGTTACCCAATTGTATCATAGTGCCAAACAGGTGTTCTGTTAGGATCACACAGCCACTTCCTGTTTTGTGCTTGGAGCAGGACTGATTGGAGTTTAGGGAACGCTGCCTAGAAAAGTCGGGAGAGGAGGTTTCATACTCGCACCTACGGCAGGTGTCAGTACAATTAAAACCCACCCGTGGCTCATTTCTGTGCCATACTTTCTTCTGTGTTTGAAGTTAGAGAATTGATCTTGGTCTTGATTTCTAGGAATACTCCATCTTTGTATGTTTGGGGTTTTTTTTTGGGGGGGTTTTTTTGAGGGGTGCAAATTGAGTCTAACACACACACACACACACACACACACACACACACACACTCTTCCTCCCTCCGGTACAGTCAGCCGACCAAATCCCACAGCGCTTACGCAGAGCAAGCAGCGAGGTGGACACTCATGCTTATTAAACTATTTTTACTTTGTTTTGCTTTAACATTTAGAGGGGCTGTCGGACTTCTTCACCCAATTAATGATCAGCAATAGAATATAGTATTTATATATAAGTGATAATACGGATTTGTAACATTAGCTTTAAAAGGGGAAGTTTTGTTCTGTATATTTTGTTACCTTTTACAGAATATTAAAAGAATTAAATGTGGGGGGGGGAAAGAAATGCTGAACGAGTTTGATTTTCCGACTCTAGCTCCTCGCACATTTCATTGTA